TCTGCTCCACGTTTTATCTTTCTGTCCTGCAGCAGCAGCAGCTACACGCCCTCACAAGGATGAATGTTTTAAAGGAGACAAGAGATGAAAATAACCCAATTATCACAGTCCGACTGAGATCGCCACCAAGGCGCTTGTATAAATGAACTTGAAATGAATTTGAAGTTTGTAAATTATGTGAAATCAAATACAATGGCTGCTTTGTCATACAGACTGTAGAAAGTTACATTTTTCTGCAATGACCCAGGTAGTTTTGTGTCGATAGATTAGATTTAATCTCTACATACAGTAATTTAATTTAATTGAATGTTGGTTTGTTCAAGAAAACTTGGATCTTTTAAAAACATGAGAAAAACAAAAATAACACAATTCTTAAAATTAGTTAATAAAAGCAAAGGATATTTTCAGGTAAAGATTTGATCCATCCATCCATCCATTTTCTTTACCCGCTTATTCCATTTTGGGTCACGGGGGTCGCTGGTGCCCATGTCCAGCAATCACTGTGCGAGGGGCGGGGTACACCCTGGACGGGTCGCAAGTCCATCACAGGGCCACATAGAAACAAACGAGACAAACAACCATTCACTCGCTCACTCACACCTAGGGACAATTTAGAGTTACCAATCAGCCTAACATGCGTGTTTTTGGACTGTGGGAGGAAACCGGAGCACCCGGAGAAAACCCACGCATGCACGGAGAGAACATGCAAACTCCACCCAGAAAGGCCCCTGGACCGGGGTTTGAACCAGGGACCTGCTCGCTGAGAGGCAGCAGCTCTACCAGTTGCGCCACCGTGCTGTAAAGATTTGATATTTATCATATATATGTGTTGTGTGTTTTATACACAGGCAAAAATAAAGATTTAGCCATTGTGAGCAAGCGGTGTTCAAAAGATAAGTGCAACTAAAACAGCATTAAAATCTTCCAGATCTACCTTTTAAATAAAAGATTTATAACAAGTATGTCTTCAGAAATAATCCCCTTAATTTTATTTAAAACAGACCATTTTTCTCTGGCTGCTGCAGTGTCAGGAAATCCCATCTTATAATGTTTGGCATCACTGTGAAGCTTGAAGATTCCCTTTTTTAATACATGGCTGGAACTCATGATGACGTCATTCTAGAGCACACATCAAACTCGAGGTCCGGGGGCCAAATCTGGCCCTTGGTAACATTTATTTGTCCCTCAAGA